GAAAATAGACGAAACGTCTCATCACACTCCTAAACCGCTGATGGTTCTGTAGACATGTTACAGAACTACGAATGGTTTCGCATACCGCATTAAAACCTGTGGATGGTTTTTGCTACCAATTGCCGAACCTTCTCGACGCTACGGAACATTTTTCGTTTTTCTGAACTTAAAATCGTTCAGTCGAAGTATAGGAAACCTTTTAGGTTCGGTAAAACTCCTTCTTTTTTTGAGTGTATATGATATCTTCAATTACTCGATCGGTTTCACCATGGAACAAAGTAAATCAACTTTTTCATCTAAAGAAAGAACTGTTTTAGTCTTTGTTTGGCTCCTCTTCTCGTGTTTCGAAACGAAGTTCGCACAAAAATAAATAACAAGGCTGTCATTCACAATGCAACACAAATGGGTCATCCACCGATGGTATGTGTTGCTCTAGATACATGTAAAGGCAAGGCAATTGAAGATCCATTATTGCTTAAAAAATTATTAGAACTATCTGATAGCAAGATAGAGCATTTACCTGCTTTATTACTTTTTGTGCCAGGCATGCCTGTCATTTTAACGCAAAATATTGCTATTGAATTAGGTCTTATCAATGACATTAATGGAATATTTGGACAATTAGTATATCACGAAGATTCTATATCAACAGAAAATCTATCGGAAATGGTTCCGAATAATACGCAATATATCCGTCGACCAATATATGCTGTAATTGAGATGGTTAAATCGAAGATTGAATGTAAACTTCAAGATCTTCAACCAAATATTCTTCCGATTCCATTAGCTGAACAAACATTTCGTGTCGACGTTGCCGATATTCTTCCCAAAGACAAAAAACCAAGGTCAAATCAAAGGGCAAGTTTAACAATTAAGCGATCTGCATTACCACTTATGCCTGCTTATTGTATCACAACACATAAAAGTCAAGGTCAAACATTGAGTAAAGCGGTTATTGATTTAAAATTACCAAATGAAACAGATGATATCGCAGCAGTATATGTACCCTTGTCCCGTGTAAAACGCTTGGTTGATATAGCTATTCTACGACCATTCGATTACAAAGTATTGCTGATGTAACCAAACAAATCTCAAGTTACTGAAATCGAATGACTTGATCAACTGTTGTATATCCAAACACGATTACATTTCTTCCCAGAATGGTTTCAATAAATCATATATGCAATAAAACAATTCTTATTATCTGCATATAATTTGATTATGGTAAATGCAAATTTTTCACAGATTCCGTTATCTTTCATTAAGCATGGGATTTCAACGTTTGAAAGCTCTTTAAAATAAAGATGTTTTAACTCTTCCTATTATGTTGTGCATATCTCAGGTATTCATTTTTTCTGTATGTTCTTTTTTGTTGTAATTGGATATCAAATAAATTTCTGTTTTGCAGTTGATCACGTGACCTCATGAACAAACCTTCTCTACTGTAGGTAAAATTAGAATATCTTTCGAATTTCTTGCGTAATGACTTATAAAATAATCCGCTAACAAGGACTGTGACGAGCTATAATAACAGAAACCAAATTATTATGGATGATTTCAGCAATGAAAAAGATTGAATGCAAGTCATTCAGTCGAGGGTTATTTGTCTCTTAACCATTGTACTGTCAGGACCCTAGAAGTCATTAGTTATTGCAAACTAAAAAAATTCGTAACGAACTAGTTTGAATTCTTATTGAATACTTCAATAATGTTCGATTTGTTCGTCAATCAAACTAATTTGATTATCGAATTAAAAAAGATCGTATATAGCAATGTCTATTGATCAATTTTGAGAAGTTGATTAAAAAAGGCCACCGCTATCACCACCAGTACCACCAAATGTTTGAGTTAATTTATATACTATTGAACATAATCCCATTAAATCAACAAAATCAAGACGGCCGTTTTGATTTTTATCAACTAACAGAAATAACCCTTTTGCCAAATCTAAATAGAATGAAATTGTTCTTCATAAATATCAATATATTTCCATATTTACATGGTGATACAAAACCAAGACCTATTTCTTGAAAATAAGTTTGAACATCTTCAATTGTAATTGTTCCATCTCCATTTCTGTCAAATTTTTTGTATAATTCGTACATC